GACGCGCCGAAGTGCAATTTTCCAGGGCTCGGAGTGGGGTAAGCTGTGAAGAAGCAGACGACTAAAGGTGCTGGGCCCAGTGCAACGGCCGCTACGCCGCGCCTCTATTGTTTATCTCAAATGTTTCATTTCATTACTATTCTTTCGCTGACAATACTGAAACAACGAACATTGAATTTTGATATGAAACAGCTGCATCGCATGACCTTTCATGAAGGCTGGGATGAAGGTTCATAAAGAGTGAGGCGTGAGGTCAGGAGTCTTTTAAAAAGAGCACCCCTTGCAAAACTGCTTGCACGACCCCCCTCCCCCCTCCCCTCCTCATTCTCACCTCCACAATAGCATGCATCGCATTCTGGAGGAAAATAAGTTATAACGCATTGATTTTTGAAGTATGTTGCCTGGATTTCTTGCTATTGTACACGGCTACACGGTACAGCAGCATTATTGAAGTCAAATTTTCTTTCACCTATAAGTTTAGAAGCTAGAAGTTAGAAGCTATACTTGCTCAGAAAAAAAGGATTTAGGAACAATTACTATAGCAAGAAAAGTTTTTGAGCTTCTAGTTTATAACAAAAATCGAGCATCTGCAAACTTTGAAAGCAAGCTGACTGGTTCATCAGCAAGATTACAAATGCTGAGGCAGCCTGACTTTATGGGGTAGTGCCTGACATCATTAACTTTATCTCCGCAACTTTTTCACCTTATTTATGTGCCGTCCGTCTGCACAAGTTTCTTACAAGGGAAAGGTACTTAATCGATGTAAAGTTTCCATGAAATGTGTAATATCTTATAAAGCATGGAACGCTGATTCCATATCTTTTTTCGGTCTCCCCATAGCGCTTCCCGGAGGAAAGTTATGGAAGTCTTTTGATGCAAAAATCCAGGTATTTGGGTTAGGTAAACCGATGTTGAGGTCTTACTGCGCTTTAAGGGAGTAATGATTGAAACAAGTTATTAGACTGAAAGTAATGAGTGCATAAAGCACCCTGGCCTAATCGTAGCCTCCTTTAGTCTAGAAGAGTACAGTTCTAAATGGTTTTATTGTAGCCGCGCATTCGCTTTACTTCAAAAAATTCCGATAACTCCCATCCCAGACGCGCTTTGCAGATACTGAAAGCTGGTTGAGAAGCAGCGTTTCTGCTCTATAAGACATTACACCTTTCATATGGGAACACCAGTTCGACCAAGTTTCTTCCCCTTCTTAGTTATTACATTGCTGTTAACGATGATAGCACTGAATATTTTTGGAGCTCATAGATGGAAGATATGCTGATTACGCAGATCACGCCTGTTTCACGTGAGCTCTTGGGTATTTCACAAAGTGCTGTTAAAGGTCTTCAAATTTCCTAAAATTACGGCAATGGAGCTGAACTGCGTTCATTCTTTGCAATTATCAGTGAACTTATGAGAGGTCATGGCATCTACAGTGCTGGACAAAATTTAGGTCCACTCTAAAAAATGCCATAATTCACTCTGTTGCCAATAAAATGTTTCAAAATGTGGTACAGCCGTGTGTTTACCAGCCTACTATCAGTCATCAAAATAAGTCTCGTTTTCGCTTGGCTATTCAAGAGGAACTGACAATTTTGAAAAAAGCAGGCTCGAAGGCTGGACAAAATTATAGGTTCACTTGGAGTTTTTACTGGCTGAAGCATTTCTTAGCTCCTGAATTTTTTTAGGTAGATACACATTTAAAAACGTTAAACAGCTGCTTTAGTCAAGCTGTGTCATACGTCCAAAAAGAATTGATTATCTGCTTTTTTGCCTTGAAAGTGCTTCCACATGTACTTCGCTCCACAAACCTGCGTTGAGTAAGAAATTCTGCAGTTTCTCGGCTAGATCGGAAGCGAAGGGGTTTCATCTACCTTCTGGAGGCTTTTTGACGTGAGCATTGAAGAACAAATCTGACTTTTTGTTGCTGAAGCAGATCCGACATCGACTCAATCGGGAGAGTAAGCCTCAGTTTTTACCCTAAAACCCTTTATGCATTGTCATTATTCCTCAAGATATCAGAAGCATTCTATACACAAGAAGAAAGCTGTTCGCCACAGTTGCAAGTGTTTACAAAGCTGCCTTGCTTCTTTTTCGAAACATGAGTTGTGTGTGCAACGTAATGATGGTGTTACTCAGATCCAAAATAGCTTGCCAAGTGCTACCTCACTTAGATTTTCAGCGTAATTTATTTACTAGATAGTGGATGCAGCTTGTAGTGTATGTTAGCACATGATTCTTCTGAAAACTTTGGTCGGAGCCACAATTAGCTTCGGTGCTTGCCGTAATCAGTTTCTGCAAGGTGATTTCAGTAATTATACTCGAATGCTAGGATCTCTAGAAAGTTGTAACCATGGAATACGGATTTCTCTTTGTAGAAACAAAGCTTTTACTTTACTGCTCCTGAGAACATTGTAAAAGAAGTTTGAAGGCAAAAATTTGAGCTCAGGGTTGCAGTATTGTCAATGTCGGGTTTGCTTCAGCAGCAAAAAATCGGATTTTTTCCTCCGTGCTCATGTCAAAAAGCATCCAGAAGGCAGACGAAACCCGTGGCTTCCGCTCTAACTGAGAAATTGCAGAATTTCTTACTCAACGCAGGTTTGTGGAGCGAAATACATGTGAAAGCATTTCCAAGACAAAATAGCAGATATTCAGTTCTTTTGGAGGTATTACACAGCTTGACTAAACCAGCTGTTTAACGTTTTTAGATGTGTACCTACCTAAAAAAATTTTGAAGCTAAGAAGTGCTTCAGTCAGTAAAAACTTCAGGTGGACAATTTTGTCCAACCTTCACGCCTGCTTTTTTTCAAAATTTTCGATTTTTTCTTGAATAACCAAACAAAAACGAGACCCATTTTGATGACTGATAGTAGGCTGGTAACCACACGGCTGTACCACATTTTGGAACAATTTATTGACAACAGAGTGAATTATGGAATTTTTAAGAGTGGACCTATAATTTTGTCCAGCACTGTATCATTCAGGGCTTGTGTTCTTCACCTTGCTCAATCGTAATATTTCTTTAAGCGAATCGGCTGTTGAACACGACGCTCCTAACCTATCCAATTCTCAATGCGACCCCCCTTCTCTCCCCCCCCCCCCCTCCCCCCTCCCCGGGTGCGTCAGCCCACACTTGGCCGTCATCACAAGCTAACAGATTTCTACTCACGAAGCAAATGATATTCTCTGTAGCTGCCAAACGTTTCTCAAACACGCTATGCTTTTTTTAACATTTAAAAACAGATTGTGGCTCAATTAAAAGGACAGGTCTATGAACATCCTTGCACTCAGCAAACATTTGAGATTGTAAAAATGACGCAAAATAAGACAACAGCTCTTTGACTAAGTTACATAAAGTTGCAAATCCGTTCATATCATGCTTGTCCGAGTCTTGTCTTGTTATTGTCATGCTCTCTGATACTAAGATTCACATTTCATGCATTCACAGGCGTTTTCGTTGTCATCCGAAATCTCTGCAGAGCAATTGATCTTTGAAGTGTTTTCTCTGGAGCTTTTCACAGAATTAGCTCGGAAAGGTGTTACTTTTCTAAAATAGTGTTTTGCCCTGCGGAACCCTGTATATTTCCCACAAGACTATATTTGCTCACACGCTTTTCGAAAGAATTTTTTTCTTAGTTTTTGCAAAGCAATGCTCTCTGAAATGAGTTTCTCAGTGCTTCTCTCAAAAATTGCCCAAAAAGAGCAGATCAAACCCATAAATGATTTTCTGCCCATTAGGCTTTGGCCATAGTTTGCCCGTGTTGCCGATGTTACCAGTGTTACTCGTGTTGCCGATGTTTCCAGCGTTACTCGTGTTACTCGTGTTGCCGATGTTTCCAATGTTACTCGTGTTACTACCTTTATTGCTGTTGATTCTCGAAATGATCGCCAGTACAGTTTCATTCTTGAACGCAGTCTCACTGAGTGGTGAGTATACAGAACCTGAGGCGATCATACTACAATAATAATAATACCGTGCTAGAAACTTGCTTCAAAAAGTTTTTATGACACAAATATAATCATATTGTTTGATTTGTAGCACAATGAGTTCTAACGTACTGGCTAACGTTTTGGAAGCCTTGATCGAACTTCAAGAACCTTGTCCTCGGACGTGTCGTCATTTTCGCGGCCGTATGTGAGAAGGGAGCACATTCCCTCTTTTGAAAAATAAAATTTAGAAACTGAAACTAAAAAAAACTGAAAGAGAAAAGAAAAAGAACTTTTTTGAAGCAGGTTTCTAGCATGGTATTATTATTGCAGTATGATCGCCTCGGGTCCTGTATGCGATCATTTCGAGAATCATCAGCAATAAAGGTGGTAACACGAGTAACACTGGAAACATCGGCAACACGAGTAACAGGAGTAACACTGAAAACATTGGCAACACCGGTAACACTGGAAACATCGGCAACCCGGGTAACACTGGTAACATCGGCAACACGGGCAAAGTATGGCCAAAGCCTTACATGCAACGCTGAGCATATCCAAAAGTCGATGAGTTCGATAAAAGTAGTACGTAGTCGTAACAAAAGATTACTATGTATGTAATCCGCCTACTTGATACCCCCTTTCAAATAAACTAGAATAAACAGTGCGTGAGACGTGTGGACGAATTGATAAGTGGTATGATTTCGTGGCCAATATTCATCATCATCATATGCTTGATTACACTTGGCATGCGCTTCCATATGTCAACATAGCAAACACGGCAATAGAGCGCACTCTGCGTGTTATCAAACTCTCGTGTCGCGCTTCGACCAATGCGCCATCTTGGCCTATTGCATAGTGTAGATATTAATTCTGTAAGAGCAAAACTCTTAGCAAATCGTCGTGTTTATGTGCAACAAAAAATGAACGGACTGAATAACCCAATATTGTAGACAATTTTGAAATATTGAGGTGCGCTGCTTATACAATTGGAAACTTTTATTACAAAACGAGTCGACATAGAGTGAAGAAAAAAAGAATGCAAAGCATGTCTCAATTGTCTTCCTCAAACGACATGATTAAATTCTTTTCATAACGTACAGATCTATATATTTGTCTGTATATTCCTTGTAATCATTTTCAGTTCTGCGCTGTGAATGTGGATTGCTTCCTCTGTACGTGGCCAACCATTCAAAACCTGAGCTGATTCTAAGCATTCTCCGGATTTCAGTATAGCCTTACCTGTCATTATCATAGCCAACCGCATTCGGCCGTACAAACGATGTGCGTTATAGAAAATGGAATCTCTGCCAACAGGAATACCAAGATAAAAAATGCCTGAAATGTATCGTTTGTTGTTGCTCAACCAAGCAATGTAAAAGGTATACAGGATGTAGCATAAAAGTTCCACACTGATACTATCAGCTGCTTTGGTAGAATCTCGAGGTCCTGAACCTTTTTGAAAGCTCATCGGAAAGAAAGCCATTTGTCTCAAATCATTGCCTAACGAGAAAGATGTTACTCTTACCGCGCAGGGTTAAGATACGTTTCAACAAGACCTAGTAAAACCAAGCTAATTGTTTGCACTTTTTCGATTGATATCGGTTACATAACCACCGTATCCTGCATACTGCCCGGAGTCTCATGAAATCCACAGGTCCTTTGTGAAATATTCTAGAATTGTCTTTTGGTTACCTCCAAAGATGGCGTTACGCACATGTTTGGATACAATTGAGAACTGCAGACCTTTTTGGTATGAGGTGAAACAGAATTTTATTACGATAAAAGCTACACCTCCTCGCTTTAGCAGGCACAGTATCTTCTGTGCCTCCCGCAAATCGCCAACTGGATCAATGGGGTCACCGTACCTGAAATCCAATCTGAACAACTTGAAGCAACCTGCTGAAACATACCTTCCCAAGCCGCTATGCTCTATGGAGGAAAAGGAAATCGCAAAATCGTACTTTCCCACGCTGCTAAAAATTCAAGTTGAAGGTGGTGGTGCTTGCCTACGCAAAAAAGTCATTTTCAAGGGAATGAAACTTACTTGCGCCAATCATTTGCAAATTCAATAGGGTGGATATATTCTATTTTTTTCGAGCCAATAACGTTTATTTTTTGGTAGTCAACAGTGAGTACCTGTAGTACAAGCTTTGCAGATGACTGCTACCGCAATCGGTTTTCGTTGCAATACGGTTAGAACTCTAGTGGTTTAATAATAGGGCAAACGTACAAACTCTTCTTAAGATCTGATATTATTTGAAGATTACAATAATTTTGAACTCTGGTTTGTTATCTTCGAAAAAGTTTTCACGCTGAAGCTAATCAGGGATTCTGACAGCAAAGCATGAGAAGGTGGTTAAGTGGGAGTCGTCAGAACGAAGAAGGCGATCACTGTTATAACGCTGAATAAAATATTTTATCATGCAGCAAAAACAGTTGATTTCTCCTTTACGTTACTGCAGCTCCTGCCCGTTTCTCGTAACCATAGGTCCGTCACCTTTGTAATTTACTACTTTTCCACTACTACTCCCTTTTTATTGATTGGCTGAGAGGAACCACCAAATAACAGATTCAGTATTCCGAACATCAAAAAAGAAGATCTTATGCAAATAAAAGGCTGAACCACCTTTCTAGCACCACTGTGTAGCGCCTGTACTTCTACCCAGGGCAGTTGAGATCCAATCACAACACCAGTCATGTTTACCACAGGATAGTCTCTCAGAGCATAAAGGACTGCTACTGCAATTTACAAAAGTATGTTTTCAGCAGAAAAATTAAGAAATGCTTACAGCCCTGTTCTCCATATCCAACAGCTGCCGCTGGAGCTGCCATCATTGATTCAACCATGTCCCAGACAAAAGGATTTGGTTTCGCTTTGTCATTGTAATATTGCTGTAAGATCACAAGAACTTCGATCATATATCATTTGCGACCATCATCATAAGTGGGAGTTTTTCACTAATTATTCATAACGGCTTTTTGGAGCTTCATATCATTTGTAGACCGGTGTCTGAAGGATTTGCCATGTTTTTTGAAGTTACTTAGTGGGGAATCTTTGGTCAAGGCTCAGAATAACACATCACAATATCCATAAATCTATTTTCATAGGAGTAGGCAACGCCGTTGATATGCCAATGCCTAACGGAGCAGCTCGCTCCCAGATTGACATTTTTACAGCAACCGGCAGTGGAAGCTTTTCGATGTACTAGTAGGTGAGTGAATTCTTCGGTAGCTTCGACGTTTCCTCGAGCAAAAGTGCCATTTAATCGAAAGTTGAGAAAGCTACCGGTCATAACGCTGCAAAAGGGAAGAACTTGTTTATAAGAGACACAAAATGGGGGGGGGGGGCTTATATTCAGCTTCCTGGCCCATCGAGAAGAGCGACCTGCTTCAAAGTAATGAGCCTGCAGGCGCCTCAATGACTCGTGCGAAAAACTGGAACTCATCTCAAAAATCACCAAAAAAGACTTGAGGAAAGAAGTGCCTTCAGATAGGATCCGATTGCAATCTACATGGAGTGGGTATTAGCGAAAGGCTGCAGCATAGTTTTGCAAGGTGACCTTTGATACGTACACGAAACCGTAAGCAGCGGAAAAAAGACAAAATCCTAAGAAGTGACGAAGAAGCATCTGCGAATAAAAGTGCGGCTTGACGACATAAGGCGAAGCTGTTCACGCGGTTTGCAATGGGTGATAGTGGACTGAAAGAAAGAGGCGTACTGAGATGAGATATTTTTAATTTCTTGTTTTTCACACATCGCTTTCTTCTCAAGCAATTTTACTGGAGCGAGATAAAGAAGACTCAGTTTGTGAAAAACGCCCTCATAGCACGGGAACCAAATTCGATGTATTCTGAGAACAGGAACGCTTCCAAGTTTTCCGAAAAGTTACTTGAAAAACGACCTGCGAGAAGAATGTAACAATAGGAATAGAATAGCCGCCAAATTTTCTTTTCTTTAGGCCTTTAAGGGAATCCACTGATCGCTGACAAATCCGAGGTCTCTAGCTCAACACTTTGACTCATATTCCCATTCTTCATGTGAGACCTGAGTCGACAATGCAGCCGTATCACAAAACTCTAAAAGCCACTCACGGTGCGCTTGATGACAGTCCTTTGAGATCCATGGGACACAAGGAGTATTTCGCTGAATTCAGTACGATATGTGAAAGAATGACCCTAATTGTGATCTACATATTGTTGGCCACACACTTTAAGAGCAGAGAACCCCAGGAGATGAGCTGAAGTTTTCATGAAATGGACGGACTGGCTGAGAAACCGCTCAGTGTTCTGCATCTGACTCAAACTAGCGAGACAAGGTAAGTGAGGGAGAGAAACGGACGGATTGACTGAGAAATCAGTCAGGTCCGTCCAAATCATGGACACTTTAGCCTATCTCTTCAGGGGATCCGCAGCAACTTTTGTGCTGGCAATATAATTTTCGTAAGTATTAGAATGCAACCCCCACTGCTACCTGACTCTACCTGACAGAAAACCGCGTAGCCATTCAGCGAAAAGTCGTGTTTATCACTTCTTCCAATCATCATCGGCGGATTTGCGGGGCTTTTTCCATTAGCAATAGCTAGCCAGTCTTGAAAAATCTGTAAGCTTTTGTAGACTTATGAAAAATTTCAAAATACCAGTTTGCATAAACAACGCGCATATATCCTAAATTACAAGATTTTTTGATTTTTCATCGTTTGGGCTGTCAGCTCGCTCGCAAAGCTTTTTGCCTCGGGCTTACAGTGAGTATTTTCGGTTACACATTTCGACTGTTGCTGTTTCTTTATCATCAGCCGAAGAGCTTGCTTAACTAGGCTATGGAGTGTCCATAAGCCGATTTTTTGAGTATCTAATCACTCTTAGTAGTGGCACTTGTGCAGCTGATCGATCTTTAGGGCAGCGTCCACTTCAAGTGTAGCGCGTCTTAAGTGGTTCTGTCATTGGGTAAATTCCACCGTTTTTGAGTAAAAGGAACCCGAACTATGTTAGCTTCGCTGGGCTCATACTGATCCCGAAGTTTCGAAACAGTTCCAGAACAGTTTTCGCACTGTGCTGGAACTGTGTCGGGACTGTGCTGCATGCGCTGCAGCCGCCCGCATGCGGTTTTTAGAGCGGCGAAAGAACAATTGTATACTTTCTTCAACGGTTTTTATAGCGGATCTTGCTCTTTTTCACCTCATTCTTGTATCTCGCTTGGTCTTGTGATTGAAAAGCTCTAAATTTAAAGAGGAATAGCAAAAAGAATCGCGCTTTTCGCAACTGTAATGATTGTACCCTCGATACATACCCTCGATACATAGAGCCACGTACTTTGGTAACATTCACTTGGAGAGCTATGAGGGGACACAACCTTCACCTGAAAAAAACAGAAGTCATCTGGGGCAAAAACCCTGATCTTATTATCCTAACTATATCGGAACGAATGTTAATGAAGCAAATATAGAAAATAATATCTTCAGGTTATCCCAGCGAAACCGAGAATTTGCGTTTTCATAGCCTTTTCACGTTGAAAAGATGGTTTTTGTGAAATTTTCGGCAGAGTTCAGGACAACACATCTCACTTGACCTCTTATTCGACCAAAATCGAGTTTCAGAAGTTTAGGAAAGCTGTTGGAGTTAAATAAAAACGGAAAACTGCGCTTAAATCATGCGCAGAGAGTCGCGCACGAAAACGTTGGTCTAGCTCGTTTAAGTGTTTCACTGTGTTTCACCAGAATTTAGATGCCGAGTTTTTTGCATTTTGCAAGCCTGTCGAACCCTTTCTAGCACTGTATCGCCCTAAAATCGCACGAAGTTCCCAAAAACCCCGTCTGGAGGCCCCGCGGAAGCCACGTGGACGAGTTGTACCTTCCAAATTCAGCCTCAGCCATAGTGGCAGCAACACAGGGGAGGTGGATGCTAAGTGGAGGGACATGTTCAAACGCGTAAGGGGGGAGACCGAAGGAGTCGTCCGCGCGTACCAAATTGCTCTCCGCGTACCACTTTAAGCGAATTTTTCTCAACGTGGAGGGGTCGAACTGAGTAGAACTTGTTGCAGTGGCCTATTTAGAGGTCCCTATAATAGAATATGTGAAGATCCGCGCGAATTCAATTTGGTGAGACACTGCCTTTAATGAGTGATTTTTAAAGCTTGGGACGATGTCAGTTCTCCTCGTCGTGTCATGGCGATCAGAATGATATATAATGTTTCAGGGTTTCGTTGAGACCCGCGGAGATCTCCAACCAGAGCCAAATGCCTCGTTCGGCTCTGGTCTGTCTCCGCTGTTCGTCTGCGCCTCCGCGCGCTGCGCGCTACCTCGCAATCCCAAACGCGGGGCGCGGGGCGTTTGCTCTGGTACCCTTTTCTTCGCTGTTTCGAATCCAATTTCAGCAAAATATATATCATTTTGAAGCTCTTGATCTCTATTTTCACGCTGACGACGTCCCAAAACCACATTTTTTTAAACTGATTGAGAAATCCGGCAAAAACTTTGTTTTCGAAAATCTCTTGTTTTTCTCCTAGTTTAACTCACGCGGTTCTTTCGTGCATTCCATAGATCTTGCTTCTATTCATAATGCAGACAACCACCCAGCCCTTACCTCTTCGATCATGATAGAATTTTTTGCGAAAAATCGTGAAAAATGCGTTTTTCTTTACCTTGTTCTGTTTCAATGAGTTCGAAGCGATTTTCTCCCAGCTTGGGCGATTGTTGCTAAAAACAATAAACGCAACAGTCCAGACAACGTCCCAGGAAGCAGGAACGTCAATGCGGTGGTAAACATTTAAAGGACGCATCAAAAATTAAATTTGGCTTCGACGTCCTTTCCAACTGACGCCCGTATGCACGTACATCCCCGCGGGGAGGAAAGGGGATCTGAGAGGGGAAACGTCAGATTTCGTTACTCTGTATACCTTTCTTCTTCCTTCTTTTTCTGTGATATGAAGGTTCTCATACCCTGATACCTACGCATAATGGATGCCAGGTTACTGGCATAATTGATTAGATTTTCACCAGTTTGAGTGATCCCCTGGGGATCCCCAGGGGATCACCTCTCTTTTTCGAAGTCATTTATCTTGCTGAAAACTTCATGAAAATGCCGTAAAGTTGTACTAAGGATATACTACGGCACTGCTAAGCATGTTTTTGACAGAAGAAATGGAATTTAAAGATTATCTTTCGATAATCCCTGGAGCAGCGGTTCGTCGAAAATTTCGATATCCTGTGATTTCCCTTATTTCTACTATAAACATGTTTAGCAGTACCATATTATACCCTCAGCAGAAATTTAGAACATTTTCAATGAATTTGTGGGAAGATAAATGACTTTGAAAATGAGAGGTGAAAGTTGTGAAAAAGTTGTGAAAATCTAATCTTGTACGGCAATAATCTGGCATCCATTATGCGCAGGCATTAGGGTATGAGAACTTTCATATCACAGATAAAGAAGGAAGACGAAAGATATGCAGAGTAGCGAAATATGACGCTTCCCCTCTCAGATCCCCTCCCTCCCCGCGGGAATGTACGTGCATACGGGCCTTAGTAAAAAAGAAACTTTGCGTTTTCATAACGTTTTCATAACATATTCTTTTTTGTTTGTCTTCTTCTTGGTAACCACTCCTTCCGAAACATGTTCTTTTTTTTTGAAACAATCACAAAAATGAAATTAGCTCTTCTTCGCTTTCCCCGTGTTGTGAATTGCTGATCCTGGAGCGAAAACTTGCACTTTGAAAAGCCGCCAAATGAAAGATTTCAAACCTCATTGCAGCGTTTTTATCCGGTCTTCAGCAGTCTCTTTTGCTTTTTATATCTGTTCTATGTCATTTTCTCTTCTCTGATCTTCTTCAAACAACCTTCACTACTTATGAAGTCAGATGTCCAAACAACCTTCATTTTCGAGTCCCTGTCTCTAGGCTATCGAAGGTATGGTTGTATCTGGAC